TAGTAGGTGCAGAGGGCGAGGTAGTGTGCTTGAGCCCCTAGTTGGAGTCTGTCATGTGCAACCGTTGCGGCCCTCACGTCACGGTGAGGTGGCCCCGCAATTTGAGGGCAACCATAGCATGCACCGCCTTTGGTTTACGCAGTTACGTCGACTCCAAGCTTATAGCAGGTCCGTCAGGCTCGCGGATACGGATCCCGGCCGAGTAGAGAACGTAGTGTGCACCTGGTCCGCCATCATTCGGGCCAAGCTTTGCCGAGTGGTGGCATTCTCGCACTCAGCAGTGTCCGTGGGACCCGCCATGTGTCCCGCTCATGCCACCTGATGCAATTGATGCTAAGGCCCTTTCCGAGGCCCTGCTCCGTGAAATTCGGTCCCTTGAAGCTTCCCTCAATAGTGACCGTGTCGCCTGCGCCAAGGCCCGCCGTAAAGCTCACCCTGCATTGGTCTTTCGGGACATTGCTAGGCCTAGGGCTAAGCCCGTCGACCTTCTGGTCAACACGCGACGGGCGCAGGTTGAGCTTGTAGATGAGTCCGATTGTGCAGTCGTGCTGGTTGAGCCTTGCGAGTTCCGTGTCGACCGCCCTGTGTGGGTTGCGGGCAAGCAGTATGGTGTTGTCCATGCCGAGGGGGACAAAATCTGGCTTGATTCCCCAGTGTGTGCTGCTGTAGGTCAAGTGGTAGTCCAAGACGACCTTGTCGGTAACCTTTGTGACGTGTTTGATGCCTTTGCTACCGAGTGGCGAGCTCGATGGGACCGCCATCGGGATGTCCCGGATGCCCGGTGGGACCCGCTGATTGCCCTTGCAAGTAGGTACCTCCCCCAAGTCGATGCTACTGTGGAGCCTATCACGGTCCCACAGTTCCGGAAGGCCATCCAGAGCAAGCACAAGCATGCCGCCACTGGTGCAGACGGGGTTGCCCGGTCTGACCTCCTTCAGCTGTCCGATTCCCAGCTGAGTCAAGCCTTGCATGTCTTTGAGGGCGCCGAGCGCACTGGAATCTGGCCGCAGCAGCTGTTGGTAGGCATTGTTAACTCCCTTGAGAAAACTGAGCACGCATCAACCGCTGCCCAGTACCGGCCTATAGTTGTGCTGAGCCTTGTGTACAGGGTTTGGAGCTCCATACGCTCCCGTCAACTCATCCGCAAGCTGAAGCATTGTCTGGATCCTGGCCTCATGGGCAACGTTCCCAAGCGCCACACCGCTCACATTTGGTATTCTGTGCAGTCCCTTGTCGAGGCCGCCGGCCAAACGGGGGAAGTCTTGTCGGGTGTGGTTGCCGATGTGGTTAAAGCCTTTAATGTGCTGCCTAGGCTGCCAATTTTTGCCATTGCCGCTGCCATAGGAGTAGACTCAGGCGTCATCCGCGCCTGGGCGGGCGCCTGCACCATTCTCGTTCGTCGCTTCCGGGTTCGGAGGTCTGTAGGCCCGGCCATCCCAAGCAGTACAGGCTTGCCGGAAGGCTGTGGCCTCTCGGTGGTAGGCATGATGCTTCTTAACCAGGTCATGGCAATTCATCTCAAGCTTGCCGATCCCGGCATTCAGGTACTGACCTACGTAGACAACTACGAGTTGCTCCAGCGGCAAGGTAGGGATGTTGTGCCGGCCTTCCGGGCCATGCAAGCGTTTGCAGACATGGCTGACCTTCAGCTTGATTCTAAAAAGACCTTCGGGTGGTCCACATCCACCGAAGGTCGCCAATTGCTGCAGGCGCAGGGTTTGCCAGTCCGGTATGCCGAGCGCGACCTTGGGGCACACATGCAGTACTGTAAGCGCAGCACCAACTCGACGCTTACCCAGCGTATCCAAGGCATGAAGCCGCTGTGGCTTCAGCTGGCAGCAAGCTGTTCCCCGCATGTGGAAAAAGTCAAAGCTGTCAGGATTGCTGTATGGCCTCGGGCGTTGCACGGAATCGCCAATGTTCACCTGGGCCCTGTTCACTTTGATAGCCTTAGGACCTCAGCCATGCGCGGGTTGAGGCTTCGTAAGGGGGGGTCTTCCCCTTTGCTCCAACTAGGCCTCATCGAAGAGTTTGCCACGGATCCGTTGGTTTGGGCGGTCCAAGCTACCGTCCGCGCCTTTCGCGAGCATGTTGACGTCGAGCAACTTAGCACCCTTGCTTGTGCAGTTGGAGGCAACACTGCCCACCATGCTGGCCCGTGTGGGGTCCTGGTTGAGCGCCTTGCCTTGTTCGGTTGGTCGATCTCGGGCCAAGCAGTTGTGGTTGACCAATTTGGTCCCTTCTCTGTCCTGGAGGGGTCCCCGCGGGAGGTTGACATTCGCATGCGCCTTCATTGGTTTGCTAAGGTTGGGGCAATGCTTGCACCACGTAAGGCGTTTCCAGGGCTGGAGCTTGTAGATCCTGCCCTCACTCGAGCCTGCCTGCTTAAGCTGCAGGACGAAGACGTTGGTTATGTGCGGGCTGCACTCAACGGTGCCTTCTTCACCCAGGATGGCATTGCCCATATTAACCCGGCAGAAAGTCCCAACTGCCCGCTGTGTGGCATGCCTGACAGTGTGGTCCATCGGCATTGGGAGTGCGTGTGCACTTTGCCGTTGCGTCAGGCCATTGCCGAGGATGTCTTTGTCCAGCTTGAGCAGTCACCGGACGCTTTGAGAAGTCGGGGATGGGCCCTCCTTCATCCCATGCATACCTTTTGGCGCCGATTGTTGGTGGCTGAGCCGGATGGCATGCCTCGGGCAGGATTGCCCCTAGACCCACCCGGTTCGGGTGGCATGCCTATCTCCCTTTTCACTGACGGCACTGCCCAGTGCCCCAAGTGGCCGGCGCTTAGGTACGCTGCTTAGGCGGTAGTTGAAGTTTGTGAGGTCGACCCGTGGTGTAGCACTTGCATTGCTGCGGGTAGGCTTAAGGGGTTGGTGCAAACGGTGCCTCGTGCTGAAGCCATTGCCGTGTGGGCTGCCCTTGAGTATGTGCACCAGGTAAGTCGTCCCGCGCGCCTCTGGTGTGACTGCCAGTTCGTGGTGGACCGCATGCAAAGCATCCTACAGGGTGGCTTCCGTTGGGATCCGTCTCAGACAGATTCAGATGTCTGGGCGGACATCTGCCGGTTGGTTCAGTTGATTGGGCCGCACGCCCTCCGCATTAACAAAGTTGCTGCGCATGTTGCCAGCAGTGGCCAGCTTGCGCCGCTGGAGGAGTGGGCTGCGTTCCACAACTCACGTGTGGATGAGGCCGCCAAGGCAGCCAACCAAGCCCGGCCTCCAGTGTTCTTTCAGGTGCATGGCCAGCTTGTGTCGCACCAGGCACGAATGCTGGCCCTTGTCCAAGCTGCTCAGGCCTACATCGTCCGTGTTGCCCAGCTGTTCCACCGTAGGGGTAATGATCGCAGTAGTGCCAACGACCGTCCTCGCATCGCGGAAGGGCATCCCGTTCGCCGCCCGCCTGTTCTGCCCCGGGTGGGTGCTGACCTGTGTGAGCGATTTGGCAGCCGCGTCGTGCAAACCGTGGCGTCGTGGTGGCCGCATGCGCTTACCGGGGACAAGTCCCGGTGGGTGTCAGGGTTGCAGTTGTTGCTTGATTACCAGATGGCCACAGGGTGCCGTGGCCCGGTTTTCAGTGGCCCTACCAAAGGGTGGCACGAGCCTTCGTGGAGCAGCCGGGTTGATCTTCATGTGCACTCTGCAGGCCAGCACGTCACCTGGTTCATGCGTGTCTTGCGGGCGGTTTGGCACGCTCAAGGCGTGGTTGTCGATTGCCGCAAGCAGCGACCGGACAGTGATGCGCTTGCCCACTGGGCCTCTGCCTTTTGGCTCCCCTGGCCTGACTGCCGTCAAAGCCAGGTCGAGGACTGGCTTGCGCAGCAGCGGTTTTGCGGCGGGGCGCGCAAGTCGGCCCGACTTGCCGCCCGTCTCCCGCATGCCAGTGCGGTGAAGGCCATGCAGGCTCCTGCACCCGCAGCTGGGCCACTGGCTCGTTTCTTTCAGTAAGGCTTTCACTCGGTTTGACCGCTTCCGGCGCCATACAGGCCCCGGAGGCGCGCGGATTGGAAAAGCTGGAAAAGCTGGGGTTTCTTGTAGAGGGTAAATGGGAGACCACCCCCAAACCACTAAACCACTGGGCCTTGCAGATGTTTTTGGTGTAGACCCATTTGAACAACAACCCATTGACCGGGGGAGTCCCGCTAGACACATATTTCGACGTGCCTGCCTTCCCTTCCTTGGCTTCAGATTGGCGCCCAAATGGGAGGCGAGCCTCCCTTTGTTTGGAGTTGGTGTTCCCTTTTTGTAGTGGTTTTAAAGGGGGAACCACTTGTTTCTTCCTGTTCTTTTTTTTTGGGGGGAGTTTGTTTGTTTTTGGGGGGGAGCCTAAGATAAGGCCAGGGGGTATCCCCAACAGCCCTGGAACCCGCTGCAAGCGTGCTTTTGACCCTCCCTGAAAGCTGCCCCAAACCACCCCAGAGCTTATTTGGGCAGAGACCCCCCAGCTTTTAGCTGTTGGGGAAAGGACATCCAAATGGAACTTTTTTGGGACCTTCTTTGGGATGTTCCAAACATCCGGCTGCTCGGACAGTTGTATGGCCAAGCCTAAAAGTTTCCTTGTTGGCTATGATACTCAAACTGGTCCCAAGGCAAAAGGCCTAAAAAGGACAGACCCATATTTTCGAACCCCAAATTGGGATTGCCGTCAGGGATCTTCCAAGCTGTTGCCCTTGGTTTTAACATCTCTCATGGTGATTCGTTGAACTAGTTTCGTGTGCGATGCGAACGGTCAGGTACCCCTTTGGTGGTCTGGATTGGTGGGATTTGAACTGGTTCTTCTAGTGGGGAAATGGGAAACTACCCCTGAACGCCACCATTCCACCGGGCGAACCACCAAACAACGAAACCATGGGATTCAAGCCACCATTAAAACGATGGGATCTCATATAACCACCATTGTTTATCTAAGGATTGTCATCATCCAAATTGGGTTTTAATGGGAGGTGAACCCAAGAGAAAAGCTGAAACAGAGAGGGGGGGGAGGTTGCATTGTCCGAGGCATTGCCTCGATTTATCGTCCATTGATCCAGCACAAGCCCTACCTCTTCCTCTACTTCATGATGGCGCCGTTTGGAAAAGCGATCAGATTTTGGGGGGTCTGGGTCAGCACGAACAAGAATCCGCGGTGGAGCGATCAGCTTGTTGGAAAGGGGTGTATCTTGGCATACCCTTGTTGGTGGGCAAGAGGAAGCATAACAAATTTAGGGTCCCCATATTTTTGACCTTGTTGGAGTCGTGGGCAGCCCTTGTTGGCGGGCAAGAGGAAGCAGAACAATTCTTAGGATCCCCTTTCTTTTCAGACAAGCCCTGGGTGCTCAGATCTTGAGAACGAAGATGGGCGAAGAAGTGATGTGATCCTTCGGCAAAAAAAAAACGCCTCTGGGGTTGGGCCACGGGTTTTTCTGAAGCGAGTCGGGGCCCGGGAAATGGGAGGGCCAAATGGGTCCCGCAACGTCACAGGGATGGCGAGATCAGATTTGCTCGACGCTGGCGCTTGGCAGGATTCCTGAATGTGCCATTTTTGTTACCTCTAAAATTTGGGTGACTTCTGTTTGGTTTCCCGCCCAATCCCTAAAACACCTGATGGTCAAGGTACATGGTGGTCGCGTGAGGCGCACTGGAATGAATTGTCAGCCAGCTCAGTGTTGCGAGTGGCACTGATGGGTGCAAGTGCCAACCAGTTGCAAAATTCAGGAACTGGACATGGTTGTTGTTGGGAAACATTTTGCATTTTGGCTTCTTGTGGTTTAATGGTTGAAATCCAACTACTTAACTGCTGAAATTTATTTTTTGCTCCCCTTCCAACGTCGACCAAGTGGGGGCAGCAGTAGGCCCCTATGCTCGTGAGGCGTGGCACGAGACTTTGTTTCCGATCGGCAGCTCCATGCTTCCTTCAGCACAGCGTTTTTGTTCAACTGCATGGTGCTGGTCACGCATGCATACTCCGTGCAGGCTAACTTCTTTTGTTGTGCTTCCCCGTTTTATACGAGATTCCCGTGGAAATATTTATATACTGTGATAGGGCAGACTCCTTACACCCCCCCATAGTCCGAACCACTGACCGTGTCTCCTGGCCTTCTATCCGAGAGAGGTATGACTAGCAGAGTATTCAACGGGTTTGAGCTCAGGTGAATGCGTTCAGTCACCGTGCAAAGAGGGTGCTGCAAGTACACTGACACTCCGTTGTACCAGTGGAATGCATCTATTTGTCCAAGAGGACACCTTGGAAGGATGCATGTGCTCCCACGGGCCAGCGAATGTTATTCACAATTTGCAGGGGGAAGAGGTTCCCTGTAGGTTTTTACTCGGCTTCCTTTCAGCTTTTCTATGGCATTTAGCCAAAGGTTCCAAACGGTGATTCAAGGTACTTCCAGGGCAAGTGACTCGTTCGAAGTCAGGGTAGAATCAGAGGCTAAATCAACTTCCATTTGCTGAAGAATATGTTGTTCCCCTGTTGGTTTGAAAGGGAATCTATCACTGCTGTTTTGGTTTTCTTCTTTTTTCTTCGGGGTCTTAAGCAAATGGAGGTCCAGGTTCCTCCATTTCCCTTGGAATGCGGATGGAGGTGCTCTTAGTGCTCTCGATCGCCCTCATGAACTTGGTCACTGCCATCATGGCAACTCGGAACTCTCGTGAACTCTCGCTCGTTTTCGCTCCGAGCGATGTACCCTCCAAACGGATGGCGAACGAACGCGTTGCCACCCTGGAGTGTGTCCCTGATCCTTGAAAGATTATGGGTAGCTGTGGGTCAAAAATAGGTACCCAAAATGGCTTGTCCCTAGTAAATGGAAACATGGACTGCGGTCCATAATTTGACCCACACCCATCTGCCCATATGGGTCATGGAGACTCCAGGCGGTTGCTCCGATGAAAGGCAGCCTTGAACTGTTCGGAAGGCCGGAGTGACCTGAAGTCTCCCGGACGAATGGATTTGTCTCAAAACAGGGGACCTTCAACATGTGTGGTTTTCCTTTTGGTCGCCTTCCAAATGACCCCAAAAAGGATACCACCAACAAGCACACAGACCCAAATTGGTTCATTACTTCATTACCCTAAGTTTGTGGGTGTGTGATTCCAGGTCATGGAGAGCCAATGATATTCCACGAGGGGCGCCAAAAGGGAATCTTGTACTTTCCCGTTGTCAATGAATATCTTTTTAGGTAGTTTAACTGCCTGGAGACCCATATTTGTTGGGTAATTACTCAATGTTCAAAGGGTCATGGAGACTCCAGGTGGAAATTGAAAGCCCCTTTCTTGGTCGCAAGATACCTGCTAATTGTTGTTGGCGAATGTGTGCATTGTAATGACAAAGTTTCCAACAGTGAACAGCATGGGGGATGTGTGTTTGTTCCTTGGTCAATCTCTGAAGAGACTGTGTTTGCTAATCTTCCTTTCTTGCCCGAAGCGATATGACCTTACATGTTGGGTTTTCCAGCTTTGGTTGTTTAGCATAGGTAGCCCTTTTTGTTTCCAGGCAAGTGGGAGTGAGGATCTCTTGGGACGTCTTGGGACCGTTTTCATGCAAAGCCATAGCTGCGAGTCTGAAACACCTGTGGCCATCGACCCCGGCCCCATTGTTGGGTGAAACTGGGTGGCCGCTAAGTTGAAAGGGGCAGCCAAAAGAAGTTCAACCCACAGAGGTCCGTACAGACGTACCAATTGAATCTAAGAAACCAGCAGGAAACTATGAAGGTGGCCCAAGCCTACTTGACGGTGGGCGTTTGTCCGACTCCTCTTGGCATAGGAGAGATTGATGCCCAGGCGCTTGCCCAAAGCGAGTCGACCATTTGACCTTTCCCTGGAATCTCGTTTGCAAATTTCCTGGGGTTGAAACCACCGTTTAACCCCTGAGGGTGAATAAACCAGCATTCTTTGCCGAAGGATTGTCATCATCCAAATTTTGTCAACCATTCTTTTAATGGGGGTTGAACCTTATGGAATGTCTAAGGTTCTTCATCCGCAGTTCCATGTTCCCTTTTGTCAAGAATGGAAGACTGAGCGAGTGGAATTGGGGGCTTCCTAACCCCTTCTCCATGAGGAAGGTGAGAGGGCAATAGTGACACCAGCAGAGTTTTCCTGTTCATCTCCCATCCAGAGGCAATGTTAAACGACGACTGCGCTTGTCTTTGATCGAGTGTGGTGGTTCGATGGCACCATTTGCTTAAGGTGGAAGGGGCGCTGGCGATTGCAGAGGAGGACAAAGAAGTGCGGAAGACGTATGAGCAAGCAACATGGAAGAATCACAAGGTGTTGTTTTGGACAGAGCGAGACAGAGAGGAAAAGAGCGAGCGAGAGCGAGAGAGAGAGAGAGATTCCTTGCCGGATCCCAACTTCTATAAGATTCCTACCCAGATGTCCGGCTTGTGTTTTGCAAGAGAGCGCTCTTGCAAGCCACTTTTTGTGATCCTGAGTTTGAGAAAAATTTGAGGGGCCAAACAACTACACACATTCTTCTATGATGACTGAACTTGGTTTTCAAGTTTCCCCGGCAGCACACGTCGTGTTTTAGATACTGGCCCTGTAGACAGGCGGTTCTTGTTTGGATGTGGTCAATGGATCTCACTCGAAGCCTTCGAGTGGGGGTGGCGTCAGTTGGGTTTCCAGGAGCCCTCCGATTGTTTCAGCCGGTGCAACCGGCGAGTGGTTGCCGAGCCCTTCCGGAGCTGGGGGTATCCAAGTTTGCGTCTAAATGAAAGCCTCTCGGAGCCGGAGTTCTGTAAGGACATGGTACATTCTACCTGGATGTTTGGAAGTTTTGGTGGAACTGCAGGTTCAAAAAGCCGATAGGTCCGATAGGCTGTTGATTGGCCGCGCAAGGGTGCCTGTGGCCCCAGAAAGTTTTTTTCGTTCAGAGATCAGATGGCCATGTTCCACACATGTCTTTCACCCCCTGGCTGAAGTTGTTGAATTCCCCCGCATTTGCCCATGAGAAGTTGGTTTTGGGACGGATTTCTGTAAGATTCAGGTTGAATCCAACCGGTTGAAGCTGACACTTAGGTCCTGCCAATTTCGGCCTTGTCCTGTGTTCTACCGGAAGACTCAGGATTTACAAATCTCAAAACCTTGGTTGATTGACAAAGGGTTCCCCTTTGTGGGTATCCCCTCCCTTTGTGGGGCCCCGATCAAAACATATTTCTTCATCGTCCATTTGCTTAAGAATATTTCTTTATTTTCCCTCTTGGTTTTAAAGGGAACCTATGACTACTGGATATATATATTTTTCCAGGGGGCTTAAGGAAATGGAAGTCATCCGTCCATGGCTGTTGTTGGGAAACATTTTACATGTTTGCTTCATGTGGTTTAGTGGTTGAAATCCAACCACTGAACTGCTGAAATTTGAGAATTGTTGCTCCCCTTTCAACGTCAACCAAGAATCGTGGACACCGGATTACTGAACACCTGGCAGATCACCAGGAGCTTCCCACCAAGAATGATCCGGATCCCAATTGCCCAGAGGGTCCTAAGTACCCCATATTTACGGCTTTGGGTTTGGTTCAAGGGGATTCGTCAGCTACAGGCTTGGACCCTCTGGGTTGATTTGAGACACCCCCTCATACATCAGCGAGGAGCTTGTTCATGCGTGCGTCTTATCCTCTCAAACCTTTCGTGCGCCAAGGCACGAAAGAAGCGCCAAATGGCCCTCCTGCCATGTGAAAGGAACGGATTGGGGTTGTCTTCCGTGCGGTCCAGAACAAAAAAGCTGTCCCATGGACTCGAACAATTGACTGCCCTGGGTTGGAAGCCCCCCACGGCAAAAAAGGGCGGCGTCCCTTTGGCTTTCCAAAGCAAGGGTGCTCTCATACAAATCGCCACACCCATGCTGGGGGCATGCATTAGCGAAACTAGTCGCAGCCGAGAAGTTTGAAACGGGAGTCAGGCCGAGATGTTGTCGAGTCAAGGCAGACTTCAATTTGGGGGTGACCTCAAAAGCGACACCCATGGGTTTAAGTCGACCTCGGGCTGAGTTGTGTGACGTGGCGGTAGGTCACCTGGTGACATAATCAGTTTGGCCCTCAAAAAATGGCAATACGTGTCAGGTTGCCGGAGGGGCCCTTTTTGGGCTTAATGGAAACATTTCGTGCCAAAAAAGGGGGCCAAAACGGGGCATGTGTTTGACAGTTTGTCCTTTTGATTTGCCTTCCGAACCAACTCATTTTGTGCGACCCCGCAAGCCTGAGTCTGTGTAATGCAGATCTGAGGGATTCCTGAGCTTGGATCAGGCGTACCCAAGTCAGACCATAGAGGGCCATAGTGACATAGTCACATCATGAACACCTGCCTTTGCCAGCTTTTTCCTTCCATTCTGCTATGCATTAAATATGCAAGATTTACTGGTGAATACCCTTCCCAAGTAAGGAACCCTAAAGAATCCCAATGAAGCCTGCTTGTAACTCGGTGGTTCCCAGCCGTCCGGTTCAGGTTTTTAGTTGTTCAGTTGGTTTAGTGGTTGGGTTTCCCCATATAGCCCACGCGTTAAACTTTTTGGGAATCTGAAAACGGACAGCCCAGGTAGGGATTCGTTTCACGGCGTTGTGTCAGGAATCGGAGGTAGGGAAAAGGTTTTCGTTGGAACAGCCAGGCGCAGTTGAAGATGATGTTCGAAGAGCTGGACGAAGATGGGTCTGGTGAGCTGACTTTGGATGAGATCAATGCGGCACCACCCGACCCTTGGCCCAATGATCTCAGACTGAACCCAGGTGGGTTGCATCCAAATGGCATCCAAAATGGCATCCAAAAAGGCCCGAAAGGGGCTTTTGTTCGTGTTTCCTTCAGTAAAGCAACAGTTGGCAAACGTTGGCAACAGCTTAGTGTTGCCAGATCGAAAATCTTTCCAGCGAAGATTGTAGCCGCGTAAGCCGAATGTGCCAACCCGATCAATCCGCTTCGAAACACAAGAGCAAAGAACCTTTCGGATCGCCTTTTGACCCGTTTGGGAAGATGCTCCCTTCCATTGCCAACCTCAACTTTGCTCCCCCCCCCGGTTTGCCACCCGAAAGGGGGTCCTTTATGTGTTCCCTTGCCAGCCAAAAAGCTAGCTTTCGCCGGGTCTAAGTCTGCCCAACGCGCAGCTGAGATGCGTGTCGTGAGGCTTGAAGGGAAAGGCAGCCAGCAAAACAGGCTGCAATAACCACCATTCTTCAGGGCTCCTTAACAGATACATGTTGCAACCATTTGAAACATGGCTTTTTCCACCAACACAAAGGGAAACCGCTATCGACAAGGCAATGTTCCGGTGTAGAATGTAAGGATCCCTGTTCTTGATCCTTCAGGATTGTCATCGTGCAAGTTGGTTCCCAAGACCATGCCTAGGAATCGGAACTCTGGGGACTCTAGGGACAGGATCCACACCTTGGGACTTGTCCAACGAGTTTCCCTTCGAGTTTGGATTGAATTTGCCGCTATCCAGCAGATGAGTTCGCAGTTTGGGACATGGATGTGTCTCGAAATAGGATGCAGCCCGGAACATGGCGGCGGTTCCTTGTTTCGAAGGCTGATCGAAGAGTTCCATTTATGAACCCCCGCCAATTACGCCATACCCAACGATGACTTAGCCCACAAACTAGAGGGTTCGTACTAGGGGTTCAATATGAACGTACATGTTCAGCCTTTGATTCTTTGGTCTCCCTACAAAACAGGTCAAGGGAAAGTCATACTCCAGACGCTTGGCCATCCGGCACTGCTTGGGCTTTGGGCGTTTGCTCCCTGGATTACCCCAAGGTCTGAACCACTGGCTGGTTCACTGCCACGAAATCCATGGGTTTAAGTTTACCTTGGCATTTTGCGACGCTAGGACTTTAACTTTTGGCCAACTAGTGGTTTTCCATTAAACCAGTGAAAGTTAAACTTTTAGCAGGGGAGCAGAAAGGAACTGAGCTTACCTTGGGGCAATCCAAAAACAGGTGTCCGGCACACAACGCAACTTGCAACTAAGCTTCTGGATGCGATTGGCCAATCTTCACTTGCCAAGGATGTGAAGCAGAGCCTGTTTGAGATCGCTGGGACGGAGGACATTCAAACCCTCTTCGCTTCTTGGCTTAGCCGTGCTTGCTCACTTTGCTGAGCCGCCATGTTCGCAAGAGGCTGGTAGCAAACCTAGACCTGTGGTGATTCTTATTTGTATGTTTCTTTTTTTCCCGAGGGGTGCTACAAAGTCGACTGGCAAATAGCCAGCCATCAATTTGGGGTTTGGATTGGTTTGTGGAGTTGAACCACTTCTTATTGAAGGTACATGGGAAGCTACCGCCCAACGTCCGAAGCACCCCAACCCACCTAGGGGAAGCTGAGTCAACCTCAAAAGAGGGTACCTGCTCGCATGGCGATTGAAGCTGCCAGGCCCATTGGAGCGTAACACCCCGTCAGGTGAAGAAGTTTCATGGTTGTTGTTGGGAAACATTTTACCTTTTTGCTTATTGTGGTTTAGTGGTTGAAATCCAACTACTTAACTACTAAAGTTTAATGTTTTGCTCCCCTTCCAACGTCAAAGATTTGGGGAGAGCGACCTCAAACTGCTTGGGGCATCATTTGTTTGACAATTGAAGGAGCGCTTCCACCGATTCGGGGGGAAAGCGATAAACGAGCTCAGCATGATGAAGGTCGTTTACTTGGGGTCCAACTTATGTCAAGGTTTTGGAATTATTGTAAACAATGCAGATCAATCCAACCATAAACATCATGTCCACTAACGGCCCCAAAGAAACATATCAGACTCCAATGGCGAGTAATCAACTTCCCATTGGAATGCTGCAGCGCTGCGCACTTCTTCCATTAGCCCATGCCAAGAAAAAGAGACTCCTTACGCAAGGGGGCATCTAATATTTGTTGATAATACATTTACTTCTGTTTTGTTATATGAAAGGTTATGGTTCAACAAACATGTTCTTCCATGTTGGTCCGTTCCAGATCTCAAAGGGTTGTTTTGTATTTCTGAGTGGTTCCCAGCCGCCCGGTTCCTTAGGTGTTTGGGGCTTTTAGTTTTAGCAGATCAGTTTGGACAGAAAGCCACAGGACTGGGCAAGGCATTGAGAGGCTTGAGTTTAGTACTCCCGTTATTTAGGTTGGTCTCCCAAGCAGCACGGCTGTGGCTTGTGGTTCTTGTTTTGAGGCTCCGTTTTTGGCCTTGTTTTTTTTTCAGGAAACCCAAAACAGAACAACACCGCCCTCTTTTGGGGGTTCCCTAAACGAAGAACACACAGCCCGTCAAACAGATTTTGCCAGATGCTGTTTGGGACAGCACTTAAGTTCGCAGGTCGAGAAAGCATGTTTTGTTTCGCTTTTCGGCAGGTTTGGCATGTGTACGGTTGTTTCCAATTGAGGAAGATCGGAACTTGGTTTGTTGCAACCCTCCATTTTGAAGAGAGTCTCTTGAATATGGGAGCCAACGACCATTTTGCTGGTTTCCCTTTACAAAACTCAAAAGAAGGGGACCCCCTCAGAACAGTTGGGTTCCTTTGGTTCGAAAGTTGATTACTTTGGTTTCCCTTCAGCATCCGAGTTTCTAGCCTATCTTTGGACACCGTTGCAGAGATGGAGTTGAAGAAGGCTTTGCTCATTCTGCAAGGTATAGACGACGGAGGGTTTTGAGGGGAGAGTTCCCGTTTGGGTTGCCCCTTTTGGGGTGCTACCTTTTGAGTTTTTCCTTTCGGCGCTTCCCTTGTCGGGTTTTTGGCGTGACTCCATCGCCAAACAGATCGGCCGATTTTGCTTGGGGGGTCTTCCCAGCCGTTCCCCTAGCTTTTCTGTTGTTTTTAGTTGACTTAGTGGGTGTCCATTTGACCCACAAGTCAAACTTTTAGGGGATCAGTTTGGACAGCCCAGAGAAGAATTACCAGTTTGAAGCTTTTGGCGACTTTCCGGTGGGTTTCCCTTGAACCGAGATGGTTTCTACAGGATCGGCCGGACTTTGGCTTCAGGAAATGTTAGACTACGATGAGGGTGGCACCCTTGAGACCGACGAGTTCTGCGAAGGACGCATTTTGGTTTGTCGCAAAATGAGAATGCTCGGAGTTGTTTGTTGGCTTTCCGTTCAGACCCAACTTAAGAGGGTTCCCTCCCAAAACCAAACAGAGAGAGACACGCCCATATGAGGTGTAGTCAAAGTTGCCTGTTTTGTCTATGGTTTGTTTGGGAGGGACATGGAGGAACTTCCTAAATGTCCCACAGAAAGAGGGGAAATCTTTATTTTGTTCTGGGAAGCAAGTAACGCTTTTCACCTGGAGTCTCCATGACCCTTCTGAAAGAACAGCGGGTATGTGGCCAAAATGATGGGGTAATGGACGAGTTGGTTGGTCCCAACGAGCGTGGAACCTGTTGGGAAACTGGCTCAGGAACTTCCAGTCGGGCTCCTTGGTGGGCGGGTACTACTTCAACGGACACGCATGGGTGTCTATGTTTGTCTCTCTGTGTTTCTGTGTGTGTCTCTATGTGTTTCTGTGTGTGTGTGTGCGTGTTTCTGTCTGTGTGTGTGCCTGTGTGTGTGTGTGCCTGTGTGTGTGTGTCTGAAGGGGGGCAAACAGGAAAACCGAAGCTACTTGGGGGTCCCCCCGTTTTTGACACACACACATTTAGATGTTTCTCAGTTCTGGAGGCCTAGAAATGGGTGTTTTTCTTGTGGCTTCCCTTCAAACACATCCAAAATGTTTAGGCGTCTTCTTTTTTCTTAGGCAGACCCCATCAATGGTGGTCTTCCTCTTGGTTTCCCCAAGCCATCCCAAGGGGTGCCTACAAAAAACACGGAGACCCATCTGAGCCACTGGCTCAAAACCGATTCGGGTAGATGAAGGTTAGGGACAATCCCCTGGCCATAAATAGCTGCGGACATCCGGCTTCTTATTTCCTGAAGCATGGTTCTGGGTAGACCATTTTAGTAGCGGGTTAATACCAGTTTTTGATTCCCAACTCAAATGGGTTTTTGCCCGGAGCCCCTCCTTCTTCCTCTTCTCGCCCCCCACAATCCCCCGAGCCCAAAACACACAAACCATTTCCCTCACTTGGATTTGTG